CAAACATAGAAAGGCAGTATCATACAATGTATTTTGAAACTCAATATTTTGAAATACAAAACAATGATCGTTATCCCCAAAAGTCAGCTTACTGACCCAAACTGATTTTTAAGTTGGTCTATAACTCTTTTCACTCAATTTTGCTTGTAAATTTTACTGTATTGTTCAGTTTCACCTCATATCAGAACTTTGTTGTTTTGATATGTGACTTTTCATGTAGTATTAATTATTTCTTATTATTAATGCCAGCAACTATGGGAACTACGGGACATTTTCCTAACACAAGTTTTCAATATAGTTGCTCTGGAAATAGTTACCACTTTAGGTTATCTACACTAAGAACCACATATTTAAAGGCAAAATACTGGTATTAATGGGCAAAATATGGGGTTGAGAACAGGAAGACTTAGAAAAGACTCCATCAGTTACTTTGTTACTGTTGCTAGAGAAGCAGTTTCTGCCAGACCACAGGTTGGCTATAGTTCTCCACTTTATATTATTTCCTCTTCTAAGACACAGATTTTACAAATGAAACTGCTCAACCAAACAAACAGATACCTTTAAATTACCATATACTTTAACTGCTTACAATAAATTATTTTCTTAATTGGCTTAGCAGTCTTGTGTTTGGAAAAGCAGCAAAATCTACTTTGCTCCAAAATTAGAACACTGACTCACAGGCTGCTTGTATACCTGGCTATCTTCTATCACCAATCAGTCATGAAGGTGGACCTTCATGAGCTCTGTAATGTAATAAATGTAAAAATGACCTCATCTGTCAACACATAGTATTGAGCCAGCAAAACCAAAACGTACAATCATAAGGTAAGAACTGGCTTATATGAAACAAGAGGGTTAACGTCCTCTTACATAAGATAAGAGGAATATATAAGGTAATTAAACAGTCTACAATAAACTTATAAAGAGATGATTCTAATTTACATGTAAGTCTGCTTAAACTGACTGTGACTGAATGATTGGAAGTTTTCTTTTCCTAACATAATGCCCATTTGTTGTAAGTTAAGCTGGTCCTAGTTTTTTACATACCTCTTACTTCCTTGGACTTATCTGCTATACCCTCTGTGTACTGCCATTAAATTAAATGCTGGGCCTGCCCAGTCTGCTTATAAAGCCTCTCTTCAGAAATACACCAGATGCATTAAACAGAGGCATCTTTGAGAACTCTGCACTTCACAATAGCATACGAAGAACCAGCAATTGGCCTTCCAATGTAATAATTCTTGTTTCACATACCACAGAAAACAGTGCAGTTTACTAACCACTCTTTCCTTATGAGAAACTCAGCAGCTTTAAAGATTTTCATTGACTTTCAAGACATTTCAATACTTATTAATTCCAAAGATCCGAACACCATGTAGTTGTGGCATTTTGGGAATAAGCACACTCAGGAGAGAAGTTGTGTTTAGGATGAAATGAGTTGGATCATACTTTGTATAGAAACTTGCCAGAAAATATCTGTAGAGATAAAATACATGTAACATCCAAAAATGAAATTAGCTTGGAATTAAAAAAAGATTAAAACGTAGAAAAAGACCACTGGAACATAAATACTTAAAAAGTAAACCATTTTTAAGCACTAAAATGAGAAGAAACATTTTAGCTTGAAACTAAGTTGATTTGAGATTTAAAAGTTTGTTTAATGTAGGAAAATACTTTGCATTTCTACAATTATGTTAAATTAACACAGGGCTTCTTAGCATCCTTTAAAATGGAAGGTTTTCAAGCTAGGGTTCATAAGTCAAGATTTCAGGTATAGTTTGATGTTTATGTGTATGCTTCCCAAGAGAAGATCTGGATCCAAAGCATCCATTATGTTCTCAAAGGATTTTGTAATTTGCCAAAAAGTTAACACCTCTACTGTAAAACTTTGAAAAATGCACTTTTTTAGTACATGAGTACAATTCAGTATCTTTGAAAGAAACAAATACTTGGCTATCCTTTTGATATTCTCAGTTTCATACTGTGGTTGAACAGGTTTATAACCAGTTTAACTGTAAACTTGAAAGACACTGTTGTAAAACAGTGCTTTGCTATAACCAAGTGCATGTATGTATTTAGACATCCAACATCTGAGAATTTGTTTGAACGAGCATAAACCATCTTAAAGACCATAAATCACTGACCATGTCTACTTTTATCCAAGGGTATATCAGAGCACAGATAACATCATATGGCTACTAAAAGAATAGTCCAACAGAGATAAGATGTAAGAATACATCGTTCATACCTTACTTGATCATAACCAAGAAGTTAGTTTAAATATAGGTGCTTGTCTGACTACTTCTAGAGAACAAAGAGAAAGTGTTTCAATGATCTTTCCTGGTAACTACTGTTCCAGTTTCTCATAAAGGGAAAGAGGTACCTTATGGAATCATGATTAGAAAACAGCTCCTTCAAAGTATGAGTTAAAAAAAAAAGTACAAACATTATTTTCATAATGACCTATATTGAGAAATTTACAATATTCTACCTACTATAGTCACAAAATTATTTCTTAAAACTATATTCCTCAATCTTTACATCAAATTCACTCTTCTTACTTTCATATACTTGCATACTTTTTATAAATGTTTATTTTCAAATTCTTGAAAGGCAGAGCAACAGAGAAATCTTTGAAAATTCTATATGTAGATTATATATGAAAATTATCTGACTCTTAAGAAACCCTAGAGGACCTTCCAACGGTATGCAAATCACAGGCGGTAATCAGTATGACAACAGTCAATTGCCAAGAGATACACTGGAAAGAGCCCTGTATTAGAAGATAGAAATTCAGGGTTTATTCTGGTCTCTTGACTCCAAAGAATCTAAGATGTTGAACAAGGTAATTGAGTCAGTTTCTTTATCTAAAAATCTAGAATAACACTGCATGTACTTGACAAATTATGATTAATTAGGAAAGTACAAAAGCACCTAAAGGTATTAATGGTGTACAGGTGGCTTCACTGCTTTTCCTTCAGTTATGTATGCAATTTAATCAGAATATCTGAGATCATACCTGTGGGTCAAAAGTATCTTCTGAGAAACATGGACATTGTGAACAGGTAGATCTTCAGGGCTATCTGAGTAAACATTATTCTTGGTACTGCCGTTATTTTTGTTAGACCCTATATATATATATATATATATTTTTTTTTTTTTTTTTTTTACAGGCAGAGTTAGACAGTGAGAGAGAGAGAGAGAAAAGTCTTCCTTTTTCCGTTGGTTCACCCCCTAAGTGGCTGCTACGGCCGGCGCGTTGCGGCTGGCGCATTGTGTCGATCTGAAGCCAGGAACCAGATGCTTCCCCCTGGTCTCCCATGCGGGTGTAAGGCCCAAGCACTTGGGCCATCCTCCACTGCACTCCCGGGCCACAGCAGAGAGCTGGACTGGAAGAGGAGCAACCGGGACAGAATCAGGCGCCCCAACCGGGACTAGAACCCGGGGTGCTGGCGTCGCAGGTGGAGGATTAGCCTAGTGAGCCGCAGCACCAGCTGACATTTTTCTTTTGATGTCAATTTTATATGACACTATGCCAATTCAGAATTTACCCCGAGTGCTATGAATATAAAGAAGCCTAACAGTTTATGATCAATTTATTCCTTTCATTTAAAAATGTCTCCTGTTACTTAAACATCTATCCCAAACCTACCCCCTCCTAAGTTCTTAAGAAGTCTTTCCAGCTACTCCAAACTGTAGTGAGTCTATTATGGGTATAATATTATATACAGGCTGTGTAGCATAAAGTATTGATTAACATACATAAAACACCCATTATGGGAGCCTGTGCTGTGGCGCAGCGGGTAAAGCCTCTGCCTGCAGTGCTGGCATCCCATATGGGTGCAATTCCAGTCTCGCTGCTCCACTTCTGATCCAGTTCTCTGCTATGGCCTGGGAAAGCAGTAGAACATGGCCCAAGTCCTTGGGCTTCTGCACCTGTGTGGGAGATCCGGAAGAAGCTCCTGGCTGCTTCAGCCATTCTTCAGCCTAGCTTCAGCCATTGCAGCCATTTGGGAAATGAACCAGCAGATGGAAGATCTCTTTCTCTGCCTCTGACCTATCTGTAACTCTGCCTTTCAAATCAATAAATAAATCTTTAAAAAAAAAAGTAATTTAAAAAAATCTATTATGTGCAAGTCTCTGAATGTGATTCAGAGCTATCCATATATTTATAATCTGGAGAAATAAAATATATATGTAATTTTTGTCAGTTATCTATCAACAAAGCTTGGGGGGGCAGACAAGAAAGAGAAGGCAATTCAGGTAGAAGTGATTTAAACAAACATGGATTCAATGAACTATTTGAACTATTCAAGAAATGCTGCTGTGAAGAGCTTGACTAGCTTACAAATTGGGTGGGAATAAAATAGTCATGTAAAGGGAAAATGAGGCAGTAACCATTTTTACTATTGGGTAAAATAAAGAAATTAGATACCAGATAGAGATTAATGCTTTGAAAATAGATATTATCTCATTTATTTCTTATAGCATCAAAATTAAGTTAAGTATAAGGTAAGGAAACCAAGGTGGCTGGGTGATAGATATAGGATTCAACTCAGGTCTGTCCTACACGAAAGCCTGACTTGTTACTAAACCATACTCAGTGAAGGAGTCTGAATAATGAATAGGGTTGGGAGTCCAATGAATTTGTTGTGATCATCTGTATCACTTTTTAGGAAGATTAATCTGATAGTGCAATACAGAATATTATTATATAATTACTTTTCTTTTAAGAACTTGGACAGGAGCTGGAGTATATTTGACCTGTATATCTTAGAATTTCGAAGTACAGTGATGAGCATATAATGTTGTTTCTGTATGTACTGACCAAAATAAAACTGCTTTATTATCAACTTGTTAAAAATTTTTCTTGTACTTTTTATGAGATAGCTACTTAATGATAGAATTTTATATAGAATATTGTTTCTGTTTCTAATTCAATCTGATAAAAGGACACATTCTTTTTATCCCAATCTCTTCATAAAAATTTTACTACTTACAGAATTATTGGAGAAATTGTGAAAAACTTTCGTGAAGATGTGAACTGTACTCCATAGTCCAGCTGTTCCCAGTGAGTTAGGAGCCTTGCTTTACCTTGGTCAGGAGTTTCAAAAGGTGTTCCTTTCACTGCATGCAAAAATACATACATCCCCTGGAAAACAAGCGAGGGAGTATATAATCAATATGAAATACAAAATTAGTCTATGCCAATAAGCATTAAGATAGTTCCAAGGGCCGGCGCTGTGGCGCAGCGGGTTAATGCCCTGGCCTGAAGTGCCAGCATCCCATATGGGCACCGGTTCGAGACCTGGCTGCTCCACTTCCGATCCAGCTCTCTGCTATGGCCTGGGAAAGCAGTAGAACATGGGCCCCTGCACCTGCATGGGAGACCTGGAAGAAGCTCCTGGCTCCTGGCTTCAGATCAATGCAGCTCTGGCCATTGCGGCCAATTGGGGAGTGAACCATCAGATGGAAGACCTCTCTATCTCTCTGCCTCTCCTCTCTCTGTGTAACTCTCACTTTCAAATAAAATAAAAAAATCTTTAAAAAAAAAAAAAGATAGTTCCAGGGGCAGACATTTGGCAGTCCATATCAGCGTGCCTGGATCTGAGTCCCAGCTCTACTCTTGATTCCAGCTTCCTGCCAGTGAATGCCCTTGAAAGCACAAGGTGATGGCTTTGGTGGTTTGGTTCCTGCCACCCATATGTCCGTCTGGATGGAATTGCTGGCTCCCAGCTTTGTCTGGGCCAAATACTAAGCCTCGAGGGCATTTATGGGCATGGCCTGCAGATACAGGATCTATTGAGTTGAAAAATATATACTATTAAAATAGTTCCAGGTTTTGGCACTGTGTGTAATTTAACTTAACAACTTGAGTTTTAAGTGTCCATATAATAGTGAAAAGCTGTGGACAATTTCTTTGTGGTAAAATAAAGCCATCTGAGGAATAGAAATATTACTGGATGAAAATCAGTAAAAAGGTCAACCAAAAGCAACTTGTTTCATCTCTTTTTATTAAACTGAAAATAAATATCAGGTCGGTGCTGTGGCGTAGTGGGTAAAGCCGCCACCTTCAGTGCCAGCATCCCAAATAGGCGCCGGTTCGAGTCCTGGCTGCCACACTTCCGATCCAGCTCTCTGCTATGGCCAGGGAAAGCAGTAGATGGCCCAAGTCTTTGGGCCCCTGCATCCATGTGGGAAGACCTGGAGGAAGCTCCTGGCTCCTGATTTGTGCCACTCAGTCTGTTGCAGCTAATTGGGGAGTGAACCAGTGGATTGAAGACCTCTCTCTCTCTCTGCCTCTCCTTCTCTCCCTGTGTAACTCGGACTTTCAAATAAATAAATCTTCAAAAAAAAAAACAAAAAAAAAGAGAACAAACTAGTATCAGGGTAGCATCACATCATTTCATTTAGATTTTTTAACACATTTCAATTAGGAAATAGACTTAACCATTTTCTCAATGCATATATAGGAGTTTCGTTCAGAATGTCCTATTAGTAAACCTTGGTAGAAACACACAAGTTGGCCAAATACATATATGTAAAAATAATAAAATCTATGGTTTTGAAATATTTAATTTTAGGACTGCCCTTGCTTCACTAGTTCTCTTCCAATGCAACAACAATAGTTTTATGTAAAATGTATAATGCTCAGCTCAATTCACTTTTTAAAAAAAGACTTACTTATTTAAAAAGCAGAGTTAGAGGGGAAGTAGGGGAGAGGGAGAGAAAGAGATATTCCATCTGCTAAGATATTCCATCTGCTAATTCATTACCCAAATGGGCAATGGCTGGGGCTGGGGCTGGGTCAGGCTAAAGCCAGGAGCCTAAAACTCCATTTGGGTCTCCCATGTGGGTAGCAGAGGCCCAAACACTTGGGCCATCTTTCATTGCTTTCCCAGGTGCATGAGCAGGGTGCTGCATCAGAAGTGAAACAGCATAACTCAAACTACTGCTCATATAGGATGCTGGAGTTGCAGGTGGCACTTAACCCACCGTGCTAACACTGGCCTCTCAATTCACTTTTATAATCAGGATTCTGCTTTGTAAAATGATTTATTTACTTTACTTAATTGAGAAGCAGGGAGGCATAGAGAGAGAGCTCCCATCCATTGGTTAACTCCCCAAATGTTTGCAATGGTCCTGGGCCAGGCCAGGCCAGAGGCCTAAGTTGGGAGCCAGGAACTCAGTTCAGATCTCTCAAAAGGGAGGCAGGGACCCATCTACTGAAGCCATTACCTGCTGTCTCCCACAGTGTGCATTAGCAGGAAGCTAAAATTGGACCTGGAGCCAGGACTCAAGCCTGGACACTCTGATATGGAATATGGTTGTCTTAACCAGCATCTTAACCACTAGGCCAAACATTCACTCCACCATTTTGCTTTAATATTATGTCTTAAGGCTTTTTAAAATACAAAACTAAAAAAAAATGCTAAGAGCTGTTCTTCTTTTTGTAAACACCTAATTCTGTGGTTAGATTTGATTTCCTTGAGATTATCATACCCACTGGGATTGAAAAGGTAGTACTTTGTTTCAGGATTTCTGTTTGAGGCACTGCTGACAGCATAAAGCCTAAATATTATCATGAAAAAGTTTTTCTGCTAAAGCCATGATGTAATGTCATTTCTTCTACTTCAACTTTTAATAAATAGAAACATTAGTGATTTGAGGTTTTCTATTCAAGGAGGTTAAGAGAGCCCTTCCTTTGAAAGCTTAGTCTACATCAGGTAATTCAAAAGGTATTTAGCAGTATTAATACTTAAGCTATGGAGGAAAGGACTCATGTTCAACTGGATTCAATTCGGCAAACACTAAATAACTGGCTTATGTGTATAGAGCACAGGACATGTATACGCATATGAAATTGAAAAAAACATGTCCATAGCCTTAAAAAAGTTCAAACTTCTTAGGTGATGGTACAGAAAAAAATGCTATGCATAAATAACTAGAAAGTAGGACAGAAACTGCTATCAAAGGTACAATCAGAGTTCTAAGGAAATACAGGACAGAAAGGTACCTTGTTACTAAGGCAAAAGTCTTGATGCTACCATGTCAACTGCCTCATTCTTGAAATTACAGCTCCAATGACAACTCTTTAGTGAAACCCTCCACATTAACAATAATTAGCCTGATCTTTGTGCTTGTATAGCGTTTCATTAAAAATAGCAAGCCAAGGAATGTTTACTCTGTAAGTACTAAGAAATTTTTTTCATTTCGGCTTTAACAGGAACTATAAAACAGGAAAGTATATTATTTCAAATTCTCAGTAGTGTTTGACTCCAAATAAGTTAAGAAATTCTACTCTAGTCTACTTGTGTATTAGAATCTACGAAAACAACCTCCTACTCTTTCCTCCAAACCACCTGCTCTTCCTACTGTTTAGAATGTAATATTCAAACATTTTTAATATATTTTTTCAGGGTAAATTAAATTTTATCTGCCCATATGTACATATATATTCTATCCTAATATATTTATTTTGAGTATTTCTTATGTAAAAATATTAGTGATGATTATATCCACATCAAAAGAATTAGGAAAAAAAGTATGTGTGACATAACTACCCCTTAAAAACTATTTACTGAATGAAAATGAAGAAATTTTTCTCATTCATTTTTTAAAGGCAGGTCGAAAATCTTGTGAAGTATTAATATGTATCTCTAAGAATGAACTGTATCACCAAATAAAAAGAAATCACTGTAGGTGTTTACTGTAATGTTTAAAAAGGCAAACATAGTATGTTTTCTTAAGCAGGTATATTTTCCCATGTTTAAAAGCATTCAATATATGTTTCATATGTTTAATTGGTTTAAAGTAGGTTACCTTCAAAGGAAACTTAAATTTGGAGTCATGTAATAATGATGACTGCATCTAAGGCTTGTTAAGTTGGGTTTTTAGTGTGATGGGCTAATAAGAATAAATCTTCCAGGGTACCAATTATCTATTGTTTTTCTTTATTTTTATTTTTGACAGGCAGAGTTAGACAGTGAGAGAGACAGAGAGTTATAGACAATGAGAGAGAAACAGAGAAAGGTCTTCCTTCCGTTGGTTCACTCCCCAAGTGGCCAGTACGGCCAGTGCTGTGCCGATCCGAAGCCAGGAGCCAGGTGCTTCCTCCTGGTCTCCCATGCAGGTGCAGGGCGCAAGCACTTGGGCCATCCTCCACTGCACTCCCAGCCACAGCAGAGAGCTGGACTGGAAGAGGAGCAACCGGGACAGAATCAGGCGCCCCAACCGGGACTAGAACCCGGGGTGCCAGCGCCACAGGCAGAGGATTAGCCAAGTGAGCCGTGGCGCCAGCCTATTGTTTTTCTCTGGCTATAAATTGTGCCTCAGTCTCAGTCAATCAACTTGAATACATGGGCAGGAGATGACTTCTAAAACATATTTAAGACATGTGCTACTGGAGAAGGAAAAAGACTCCATTTATTCAGCAACTATTTAAATACATCATTGGACAAAGTGCTAATTATAAAACTAAGATAAATACATAGTAACAGAATGCTATGAGTTGTGATATTGAGTAGAGACTTGGCAGGAAAAGTAGAACCAGCCAGGGAGGAAGGATATTAAAACAGCAGAAAAGCTTAAGCCAGAGCAGAAAGTTCTGTTTATCAATGACAGATTATAAAGAGTCTCTCTTTAATTCTCTGCAGTTATCAGATGTCAGTCTTTTATGCCACAGGAAGAACTTGAGATTTTCCTGTGAATGAAATAGAGAATCACAAGGACTTAAAAGTATGATTTGAGCAGACACGCATTTTAAAAATATCATTGTGCTAAACTGGATTGGAGGAGGGTAGAATTAGAGGAACATCAAGACCATCTGATTTAGTGGAATACTCCTCCCAAGAAAAAAATGAAGGTATGGGGATTAAATTGATAAAAAAAAAAAAAAAAAAGCAATAGAACAGATAGGACTTTGACCAAATGGATAGAGTATAATGGAAAGGGTAGAGTTATTCTAAGACCAAAGTGACCATACGTAGTGTTCGTCTGCATAGTACAGTTCTGATTTACATCTGTTCTCCTGGAATAGTTATTATAAGAACTCCCTGGTACTCCCAAAACAGTTTGGGTGATATATACTATCTCTTTGCCACTGACATTGAGGTAACTTAGCTTACTGTGTAGACACTGGTGCCTTTAAATAAGATTAGAAACAGAGGAGCAGATTGAGGGTAGTAAGGAATAAATCAGGAATAAGATGAGATCAATTTATACTTGTTTGGTGTAAGCTATGGGGTGATCTGGTGATATAAATATGACCATCATTATTCTACAGTAGAAACTTAAAATATATGATAAAGTAATGTATAAGAAAAGAACCTGGGGCCAGCAATATTTTAAGAGAAGAAAAAATAAGATGACCCTCTAAGAGGAAACACAGAAGAAAATCAGAAATACATCTAGGAGAAGAAAGTGATCTTATGGAAGCCAAAGCAAGATTTTCAATAAAAGGGGCATGGTTAGTTTCAACTGTTTACTAGAAGTCACTATTTAAAAATAGTATTTGTCCTATCACATGAAATGGAGGGAATGGACACATCATTTCCACCAGCACATTATCCTTTTCCTCGTCCAGTCAATTTCAAATACATTCCAGAAGCTATTAATTTAAAAAACTCTGTTTCTCTTACTTTGTTCTGACTTAATGCTTTAAGGTCCTCATTTACTGGGATATCTTTAAACAAACATACAGTTAATGTGTATTCAATTAAAATTCTCAATTAGCTACATTAATCCTCTTTCAGAGAACAGGTCTTCAAAGAAGGGGGTACCTTTCTCTGAATGGAGGAGAGAACCTCCACTTTGACTATGACCTTGTCTAAATAAGATAAGAGTCGGAGAACTCAAAAGGCTTCCATAGCCTTGGAAACTCATGACTGGAGCATAGGGAGATTACTGATGCCATAGACAGGAGTGTCAATTGGTAAAGTCAACAACAGGAGTCACTGTGCGCTTACTCCTCATGTAGGATCTCTGTCCTTAATGTGCTGTACATTGAGATTTAATGCTATAACGAGTACTCAAACAGTATTTTTCACTTTGTGTTTCTGTGTGGGTGCAAACTGTTGAAATCTTTACTTAATGTATACTAAACTGATCTTCTGTATATATAGAAAATTGAAAATGAATCTTGATATGAATGGAAGGGGAGAGACAGCGGGTTAGGGGAGGGTTGCGGGTGGGAGGGAAGTCATCGGGGGGGAGGTGGGGGAAGCCAATGTAGTCCATAAGCTGTACTTTGGAAATCTATATTCATTAAATAAAAGTTTAAAAAAAAAATCCTCTTTCAGTATACTTTAGTAGGCTGTTAAGAGAAGTCATCAGGTGTGTGTGCAGGCCATTTGAACATTTGAACATGTGCCATTTAGAACATTTAATTTCCAGGGTTGTATAATATGGTCAGTAGAGTTAATTCAAGCTCTGATACTCTGTGGAGCTAATAAATACATCTAACAGAGAGTGATAGTCAACAAGCAGCAACTAAGGCACCAAAACATCCTAAATCACATAGATCTGATTAAGTTCAAAATTTCTATAGTAAAACAGGACTCAACTTACTCAATTTAGAAATCCTTAATACAAACTGAAGCCAAAGATTTTTACTAGACTAATTAAAATTAACTAAAAAACATGAATCCTTCTGAAACATTCTGGTTAGTATATTCTAGTAGCCTGAATTACAGTGTCTTGTAATTTTTACTAAAACTACTTACTCTTCGCTGGATTCTACACAAACAATGGAAGAAAAAAGGTTTTACTTAGAGAAAGAGCCTAATGCTGGGAGACAGAGAGCAAGACAGAAACAGAGAGCTTCCATTCCCTGCATCACTGCATAAATGCAGCTGGGGCTGGGTCATGTTGAAGCCAGGTGCTTGAAACTTAACCCAGGTCTCCCATGTGAATAGTAATGACCCAACTATTTGAGCTGTTACCTATTGCCTGCCAGGCACATCACTAAGACCCTGGAATTAGGAATGGAATTGGAACTTGAACCCAGGCCCTCCTGAATGGGATGTGGACATCCCAAGTGATGTCGTAACTCCTGCACCAAACACCTGTCCCATTCTAACCATTTTTAAATGTGCAATTCAACATTAAATGGGCACCCATCACTATACTATCCATCTGCAAAATTCTATTCCGCTTATAAAAAATTCCAAACTGTACCCATTAAATAAGAATTTCCAATTCCTTCCTCCCCTTGACTTCTGGCAACCACTAAACCTTAGACTTCTGTATGTTTAGTGTAATGTGAAATTCTTACCAGATTATGAATAATATTGGTTAAGGTCCAAGCAACAGGAACACTGAAGAATGGAATGCTGAGTAACACTATATGAAGCAAGCCAACTCCCAACGTGTATGTCAGCCACATACCCCGGCTGTTCATTACCCGGGTGTTTGGATTCACCTCACTGTGGGCAACTCCAACATTCATGTTTGCTCTGTAGGGAAGAAATGATATCAGTTATCACTGACATAATTAGAAATCTAAATAGCCATAATTCTGACATAATGAAATAAGTATGTTACTAGGATTTTTTGGAAAAGGATTTATTTTTAAGGTAGAATGACAGAGAGGGATCTTCTATCTGCTGGTTCACTCTCCAAATGCCCTCAAAAGCTGGTCCTGGGAACTCCATCTGGGTCTCCTGCTGGGTATCAGGTTTCAAGCACCTCCACATCATCAGCTGCCTTCCCAGGCGCATTAGACAGTACACAAACTGGCACTCAGATACAGGACTTAGTGTTGCAGTGTTAACATGGTGCCGCAACTGTGATGCCACCCAGAATTTATTTTTCCCCAGTTTATCTAAACTCTCTCACACACACCCCCTCCAACTTGGATATACTGATGAAGGTGGTACAGAATCCTCAGCATCTGATCTTGTAGTAAAATGAGACATTTTATCATTGACTTTGAAAGACAAACTTTTAAAATCTTTTCTCTAAAGCTTGTCTTCTAGCATGTTTGTTTGACTAAATGAAATAATAGACAAGAAAACTCAAACTGAAAGAAAATTAACATTTTTGTGTATTATGAGAGCAAAGTGAAAAGCAAGGAATTCAATTTACCAACAGAATAACTACTATTTAAAAAGGGGGGTGGTGGTGGCGGTGTGCAGCATTGTGGCATAGAGGTTTGAGCTGCTGCCTAAGGCAGGATCTCATATCTGAGCACCAGTTGGAGTCCTGGGTCCCTACTGCTCCACTTCTGATCCAGCTTCCTGCTAATGTGCCTGGAAAGCGGCACATTAGGATTCCTGCATTCACGTGGGTGACCAGGACAAGGTTCTTGGCTTCTGGCTGGCCCACCTCTGACCTCAGTCACCATTGGGGGGCGGGGGGTGAAACAGTGGATGGAAGATCTCTTTCTGTCTCTGCTTGTCTTTGTCATTTTGCCTTTCAAATAAATAAAATAAATCTTTAAAAAATCAGTACTGATCCAGCCAGTCTGCATCTCAGGTAGCCAGACTTCTAAGTCTAATGCAGGTAGAGTTCAAATCATTCCTTATTGAATACTGAACCTGGGAGCAACATGCTTTGACATAACTTGGTGTAAAATTTACATTGCCAAGGGATAAAGTTTGTTTCTCAGGGTGTGACACAACTAGATAAAGCAATGAATGAATCTTTCTTCTGAATATTTCTCTAGTCAACTCCTCCATAGTTTTTTCTTTTTAAAGTGTTTTCCTTTCCTCTTTACCTTCAAGATGAACACCAAAGAGGAAGTGGTAGGTTTCCAGTTATTTCATGGCGGTATTTACTGGGTTTAAGAATTCCTTAAACAAAATAAACCTGACTTACCATCCTGGGGAGGGGAAAAACGGAGCTGGATGACACATGGGACAGCTCCGATGTAAAAACACCTAAACCCTTTCTGTTATGTAGTTACTAGCATAGAGAGAGCAATGTCTCAACCCATCCAGCAAGTGTTTCCGGAAGATAACGTCCCCTTCACCTCTGAAGATCTAAGGAACAGGCATCAAGGTTTACGGTGATGAAAGTTTCAGTACGATAAAGCAATAGTCTCAAATTTACACTGTGAATATTCCACACTTGTTTTTAACGCCATAAATTAGAGTAAGAACATGCCATCACTCAAGATCGTTTTTCCACTTGCCACAGGCTGGAAAAAAAAAATAAATGCTCGAAAGGCCCAAAATTTACCCGAGCTGGAAGGCAGAGCAGGCGTGGTACTTATCGAGGTCCAGACACCCCTCCCCAGCAGGTCTGCGCCCGCTCCAGGACGCGCAAACAATGGCTCTACAGGCAGACCGGAGGCTCTCGCTCGGCCTCGCCGGCGCCTTTGAAGTCGCGACCGCAGCGGCCCCCTCTAGGGGAGTCCCCCGCGGCCGGGCAGCCCCAGACTGCCTCCCGGTCAGGGGAAACTCCGCAAAAGCGGCGGCTGCCGCTGCCGCAGCGCCTCCCCCACCGCCCCTTCGCCCTCGCGGCCGCACAGCCCATCAGGTTCGTGGCACCGTGACCGGAACCCGGGGGCGAGCCTCGGGGGTTACCTGGCCCGCACGGCCAGACACAGCGCCACGGACGCAGCCGCAGCCAGCGCTTTGCCCTCAGGCACACCGTTGTCCGCC